TAACGGTCTGACCCGCTTGCACGCCAGGGCCGAGGGGCCGGATGCTGGGTCCTCCCAGCTCTGGAGGGTTCTTTGCTGGCCTCCTTCGGAAGCTCCCCTCCACCCACAAGCAGGAGACAAGACTCTGTGGGTTGGTTTCCAACCCTGGCAGCACTTTAGAGTCACCTGTGGGACTTTAAAGAAAGATTTTTTTTGACACGATCTTTGTTACCCAGCTCTGTGTGTCTGTCAATTCAGAACCGAACACTAGATGTGATTTACTGTATGTACATTGTACCTTAATACAAAAATGAGAAAGGATCCTAATGCCCAGGCCTTTGGGGTGAGGGCAACAGCCTTCTTTGAGGTGTGAAGGTCACACTGGGGTGTAGATGAGCAAAGCTTCTCGTATGACCTGCCAAGGGCACTATGCAGTCCTAGCACTGCAGTTCTCCACCCCAGCCATGGGGGAGGGACAGAGGACCCTAGAGCATCCTCTGCATGGGGCTGGCCTTCAGTGGGACCCCTGTGCTGGTAACTGTCTTCTGCCTTGTGCTTGTATCCGGCTGATCCCCCATAAACTGCAGTGAGGACCAGGCATATGGCTTTGTGCGGTCCCTGCGCTTTGAAGATGAGGCAGCACATTTGGGGAGCTGCTGCATGTGGGCAGTGGCCAAAGTCTCCAAACACTGCATTCCTGACACTTGGTGCCCGCCTCCTGGAAGAAGAGGGAGGAGTGCAGTTCTCTTAGCCTCCAGGCAGACTGGGGAAAGTTTTCTCATCCCAGGACCGACTAGGGCAGGTCACACCCATTCTCTAGGAACACTGGGGCAACTCTTTCATCAAAGGTCAAATGGACACATTTCTGTCTCATCCTGCAAACAGACTGGGGGCATTTCTCTTTCACCCCTTCCCCTCATACAGGGAGGTCAGAGGGCAGACTCCAGAATTCCCAGACTTCAGTCATTCATGTGCTGCCTTTGAGATTTGTTGTAATCATAAGCACAAGTTTAACTATTGTCTTTCAGTCATTCCACTTTTTAAAGTAATCCATATGCAAGTTAAGGTTATTTATTATTTATTATTATTATTTTTTGAGATGGAGTCTCGCTCTGTCGCCCAGGCTGGAGTGCAGTGGTGTGATCTCAGCTCACTGCACCTCCGCCTCCCAGGTTCAAGCAATTCTCCTGCCTCAGCCTCCCAGGAAGCTAGGACTACAGGTGCGTGCCACCAAGCCTGGCTAATTTTTGTATTTTTAGTAGAGACGGGGTTTCACCGTGTTAGCCAGGATGATCTTGATCTTCTGACCTTATGATCCGCCCACCTGGACCTTCCAAAGTGTTGGAATTACAGGCATGAGCCACTGCCGTTAGGTTATTTTTTTCTCTCAAATACCTTAAAGTGAATACATTCCTGGTAAAACTGAAAGTACTTATTCAAGTACCTAACAAAACTGAGTCATGCACTATCTTCGATAAGAGGGCACTGGCCTGAAAAATCCCCAAATTTCCAAGTGGGCGGCTTCTGGCTCCACCCTGGGCTAGACCTGGAGCTCCTCTTGGGCAAATTCAAATTCAGTCCTTCCAAGCTCTGACAATCGTGGCCCCCTCCCACCCCCAGGCTCTTGGGCTGGTGCTTTTGAAGGGTTTCCCAAACCTACACTCAAGTCCGGGGATTCTTACCCGGACTTGCCTGCTCATCTCTCTTTTCAGTTTCACTTCCCCAGCCCCCAGGGAGTCAAGCCAAGCAATGGAACCAACATGGCTGTGTTCCAGTAAAACCTTAAGGTCACCGAGATCTGAACTTCACAAACTTTTTTTTTTTGAGACGGAGTTTCGCTCTTGTTACCCAGGCTGGAGTGCAATGGCGCAATCTCGGCTCACCGCAACCTCCGCCTCCTGGGTTCAGGCAATTCTCCTGCCTCAGCCTCCTGAGTAGCTGGGATTACAGGCACGCACAACTATGCCCAGCTAATTTTTTGTATTTTTAGTAGAGACGGGGTTTCACCATGTTGACCAGGATGGTCTCGATCTCTTGACCTCGTGATCCACCCGCCTCGGCCTCCCAAAGTGCTGGGATTACAGGCTTGAGCCACCGCGCCCGGCTGAACTTCACAAACTTTTTGTCTGTCACGTAATTATACTCTTTTGGGGTTTTTTTTCCCCCTCACTAACCGACTCAAAAATGTCAAGACCGTCCTTAGCTCAGATATTTGGCTGGGGGACGGGGGGAGTGGGGGAGAAGGAGTCTGCCCGCCCTCACTTTAGCTGCTGCTGGTTGCTGGGACCTTGGGCGTCCTTCCTTGGTAGTCTGCACAAATTTGCCATGCATCGCCTTATTTGATCCTCATGACCCATTTAAGAGTTACTGTTATTTTCACTTTACATCTATTAAACCGAGGCTGAGATGACATCACTGCAAAGGAAGTTCCCTCCTGGGTCAACAGACTTCTGGGCCCTTCCAGCACTGAATTCAGTGGCTCCTACTCAAACCCCAGGGAAAATCCAGTCAGTCAGAGTCACGGCCTGCTCCTCAGAAGGCAGGACAAGTGCTAGCTCTATCTGCAGCTTCCCCAGGGCATGCTCCTTACAGGGTCTGACTGGTACAACAGGCACATGAACAAAGGCGGAGGCCCCTAATGGAAGGACAGCAAGGAGGGGCCCCCACCAACTCAAGCCTGCTGGGGACTGAGGAAACCTTCCCCACCCTGGTAAGTTTCGCTCTTATTATCTCATCAGTTTCACCATGCCTCCCTCCACCAGGGCTCCTCCTGCTGCACCTGCAGGCCCCTTGCCCTCACCCTCCTTGATGCAACCTTCAAATCCCAAGCTTGCTCTGCTGCTGCTCATCTTTGCAGCAAATCTCCAGTCCCAGAAATGTCCCCTTTCATAGGAAAGTTGTTTTTTCAGCTTCTCTACACAACTGTACCACAACTTAGGATTTATATTTAAAATTTTTACCTCATCTGAGGTGATACTGTTGGGCTAGTTGTAGGGGAATGGCTCTACAAAGGCACCTTAGAAATTCCCCATGTACTCTCACAGGCCACAGGGCACACAGCTCACCTGAGCCTTTTGGAACTGACGGTGGAGGTCTGGAAGGCACTGCCATAAGGCAGCTCCACTCCCTGCCCCATCCTTGTAAGAGGCTATCAAGAGTTGCTGTCTCCTGGGATTCTTTCCTAAGCAGGAATGAGGCTTCCAGTTCATACCCTGCTCCCACCATGGTATGGCTGCAGACTAGACAATTTGCTCAGCCACAGTGTATTAGTGGTTCAACAAGGAAAGATGCTGTACCTACTATTGCAGGCCCCTTTGGGAGCGTTTCCATTCACTGTCAGTAGCAAATTGAATGTTAAGTCACTAGAGGCCAGGTGTGGTGGCTCATGCCTGTAATCCCACCATTTCGGGAGGCCTAGGTGGGTGGATCACCTGAGAGGACTTCAAGACCAGTGAAACCATCTCTACTAAAAATACAAAAATTAGCCAGGTGTGGTAGCATACGCCTGTAATCCCAGCTACTTGAGAGGATGAGACAAGAGAATCGGTTGAACCCAGGAGGCAGAGGTTGCAATGAGCCAAGATTGTGACAATGTCCCCTAGCCTGGGCGACAGAGCAAGACTTCATTAAAAAAAAAAAAGTCGGCCGGGCGCGGTGGCTCAAGCCTGTAATCCCAGCACTTTGGGAGGCCAAGGCGGGTGGATCACGAGGTCGAGAGATCGAGACCATCCTGGTCAACATGGTGAAACCCCGTCTCTACTAAAAATACAAAAATTAGCTGGGCATGGTGGCACGTGCCTGTAATCCCAGCTACTCAGGAGGCTGAGACAGGAGAATTGCCTGAGCCCAGGAGGCGGAGGTTGCGGTGAGCCGAGATCGTGCCATTGCACTCCAGCCTGGGTAACAAGAGTGAAACTCCGTCTCAAAAAAAAAAAAAAAAAAAAGTCAGGCTGGGCGCGGTGGCTCAAGCTGTAATCCCAGTACTTTGGGAGGCCGAGGCGGGTGGATCACAAGGTCGAGAGATTGAGACCATCTTGGTCAACATGGTGAAACCCCGTCTCTACTAAAAATACAAAAAACGGCCGGGCGCGGTGGCTCAAGCCTGTAATCCCAGCACTTTGGGAGGCCGAGACGGGTGGATCACAAGGTCAAGAGATCGAGACCATCCTGGTCAACATGGTGAAACCCCGTCTCTACTAAAAATACAAAAAAAAATTAGCTGGGCATGGTGGCGCGTGCCTGTAATCCCAGCTACTCAGGAGGCTGAGGCAGGAGAATTGCCTGAACCCAGGAGGCGGAGGTTGCAGTGAGCCGAGATCGCGCCATTACACTCCAGTCTGGGTAACGAGAGCGAAACTCAGTCTCAAAAAAAAAAAAAAAAATACAAAAAGCTAGCTGGGCGTGGTGGCGCGTGCCTGTAATCCCAGCTACTCAGGAGGCTGAGGCAGGAGAATTGCCTGAGCCCAGGAGGCGGAGGTTGCAGTGAGCCGAGATCGCGCCATTGCACTCCAGCCTGGGTAACAAGAGCGAAACTCTGTCTCAAAAAAAAAAAAAAAAAAAAAAAAAAGTCACTGGTACTTTAATGGCTCTAATTGGCCTGGCCTGCTGCAACATTCCTAGACAATGTCCCCACCAACCTGGGGCACATCATACATACTAAGGGTACTACTTCTATAACTTGTTTGAATGCTTAGGTGAATACCTGGGACTATCTGAAGAGACAGTGTCTGATCGAGCCAACTGTCAAATGTTCCTGGAACCCACTCAAGATCTCAAGGTAAAGCTCCTGATGACAGTACCTTTGCGCACCAGCACCCCACTGCAGAATTCAGCCAGCTGGATTTGGCTTGTGGTAACCCTCACCACAGCTTGCCACTGTCAGTCCAAACTGGTGGCACATGCATATGAGGTGACCAGAGTTCCAAGTGGCCATTTACAAAGCATGAGCATTGAGAATGATGAAATGCTTGAGGCTCCCTTAGACTCTGGTGACAACTCCTTCAAGAAGACGCCGGACCAAATCACATACTTAAATCCGTATTTATTAAATATCCCTTGTTTTTCATTCAGGAGATACCAGAAGGGCCCAGGTTCTCTGGAAGCAGAGAACCTGGCACCCAAACCGAGGGCCAGAGGTCTGTCGGACCCAGAGCCCAGGCCCAGAACCGGAAATTCTTGACTCCTTCCAGAAGGGCAGCAAGGAAGGTTTCAAACTTGCTCAATTAAGGCGCCAAGACTTGCGTTCAAATTCAGCTCCACTCCTCACTAGGTGTATTAACGCAGGCAGGCCTCATCTGTAAAAATGAGATTAGAAACACTTCAGAGACCTGTTGTGAAAATTAAGTGACATAATTCACACAGCTAGGATTATAAATCCCTAATGCCATCAGCGGCAACACCCAACTTACCAACTTCTGAACCCACTCCCACCATGAGCAGAGAGAGGCCTGTGCCCACGGCCTTTCCAGGGGCTGAAACACTGGCCACTGACCTAAGGTAACTTCGGAGCAAAGGCTATATATGTTGAAACCAAACCATCCCCAAGAATCAGGGTCCATGAGTCCAAATACTAGACAACTGTTTGTCCGAAAATAGTCTTGTGAGCTTGAAGACAATTAACCTTTCTGGGTACTCAATCACCTGACTTACAACATAGGAAGGTCAAAATAAGGTGACGGTTTTTGAACTTTTCCTTAGCCAGGTGACTGTAAATAAAACAGGAGTGAAGTGACTTGCCAGGCCAGACCTTCCTGCACACTTACCCCTGCACAAGTTCCAGGGAACAGCCTGGCAGCCACTGAAGGAATCGTCTCTCAGGTCAGGTCCCCACTAGCTCTGGCACCCTGGGATTGCTGCTGTAGAAGTATGGAGGGACAGCAGGCACTCTTGTGCCATGTGTTGGGTCAGGGACACAGAGCGGAGCCGCTGGTGAGAGGTGGCTGACAGGAACTGGCAGCTAACAAGGTAGCCTCCCAGTTTTGTGGACGCTGGTAGAAAATACAAATCTCTCGATTAGGGGACAAGGGACCATGGATCAGAGCAATAGCAACACACAGAGCATCAGTATTTTCCACCACCCTCCCAAGCCCCAGTTCCCATAGGGTGATGCAAGGAGAGTCAGGGGCACCTGCACAGGCACTGGGCTACTACAGGAAAGGAGTGCAGGACTCTACCCTTTCACAACGCACAGCAAGAAAGCCTGCTCTCTGCTCTGGAAGAAGGGACTACCTCTCACATTCCAAGCCTGTCTGCTGCACAAACATCCTTAAAAAAGATACTAAGGGAAAAGGGGTAGCCAAGTGCTTTACTCACAAGACTGCTTGAACATGAGAGTCAAGGAGGGAGCTCAGCAGGCCTGGGGTGTTCAGCAACTGTTCCTGGACTGAAAAGAAAAAAATCAGCTGGAAGCCTCACCTTTAAGAGAGGTGACCCCACCACCCAGAGGAACACAGGAGCTGTGCTGCTTGTGCTATGACCAAGCCAGCAACATTCTTCCCATCCCAGCCAATCCCTGAATACACCTAACAGCCCTCATGCCAGGACAAGAACTTGAGGGCATCCATCTCCTTCCCACCGGCTTCTAGATTCCACTCAGGCTGCAGGGTTAGAGGCCTGGCATCAAACCATGATCTGCTGGGTTGTGGCTGGGCAACCCTGGACACATAACTCTGATCTTGGGCCCCTCTTCTTTACTGAACCTAAAATGACCTCATGGTGATGCCTCAAAGATTTATAACAAGAAGTAGGAGGTTTGGTGCAAAACAGGTAGTTCGACAACATCAGCACCTTCCTCTTCCGAGAGTTTTTTTCTTTAAGGTGAGCACACACTGACTTCTTCCTCCACTAGCTCCTGGGGCACTCAGCCCTTCTGCAGAGCTAAGCCTTTGGTTCTTTTTGATTTGCCTTGTAAATATCCTGTCCCATTAGTCTCTCAGGGCAAGACTCTTCCCTGTTTATTCCTCTCCACACTGTTTCAGCTCCTACTTTTTTTTACCACCCCTCTTGGATTCATCCTCAACTTTTAGAAGGCCTTTGCTTTAAGTGTATAATAAAATGAAATTTGTACTGAGCCTGGAGCATAGCAAACACTCAGGATTCTCTTCACCTTTCACACCAGCATTGTCCAAAACTACTTCTACGGCGACAGAAATGCCCTCTAATCTTTGCGGTCCAACATAGCAGCCGCTGGCCACCTGTGTGTCAAGTGGCTGCCACATTCACTAGATGGCTGCAGATCTATACAAAGCCCAGCACACCAGATCCAGGAGGCAGGAAGTCATTGTCTGAAATTTCTATAACCTTGCTCTGGATGGAGCAGGGCAAGGCCTCAAACCGTTTCAAAACTGTTCTAGCAAGCACTGAAGGAATGCATAGGATCACCACAGACCCAAGCACGCTGGAGGCTTGCTATCCTCATTCACCCAAATCCCCCACACCCTAGGAATCTGGCAGTCCCCTCTCACTGAGCACCAGTCCCTGCTGGAAGCTGCAAGAAGAGACCTGAGGGTTCAATTAGACACCTGAGCTTGGTTACAGACCAGAGCTACTGATGACTCTCAGGGAAAGATCTTTCTGGGTGAGGAAGAAGGGAAGGTGTCTTGCAAGAGAATCTTATTAAATTTTTAAATAGATCAGACAATACGAACTAAAATCCCACTTTCTTTGATTATTCTTGGACATTACAATTCAAGCATGGCTCTTCACTGTGACCAGACACATCCTTATTATCACGTAGTTAAACATAAATACGGCCTTTTCCCCTTCATTTTTCTCTCATGTATCTTACGGCTCTGAAATCACTTCTTAACGACTACGTAGGCCAGGACACATGAATCAGATTTCATTTTCCCCATGAAATAATGGTTCAGAGAAAACGCAGGCCTAGTTCCAGGAAGGCAGAGTTGCGGTCTCTGCAACTTGACTTACCAGGGCATCTTGCAAAAGAGTTGCTGTGACAGGAAGCTCTTCCACTGTGAGGCCATCACCTTAGCCATGGCTCCCCACTAGAGGGGAACAAATGCAGTCAGCTCCAGCTTATGCCTCTGAACCATTAACCAGCTCCTTGCAACGCCTGGGCCCCTCTACAGCTTCTCTTGCGGCTGGTCTACCCGCCATCCCATCCCTTCCGGTGAGGTCCCTCCAGACGACCACACGTCCCATCCCGCCTGGGGTCCAGCCAGATCATGCAGAAACCCCACTTACTCTGCTGAAAGAGAAGCACGACGTTACTCATCCCTAACCCCTGAGTCTCTTCCGGGGAAAATGTTCCGAACGCGCTCACCCGCCTCTTGGGAGAAGTAGCACGTGTAGCAAAGGCTTGAGCTCCAAGAACCGCCGGCGCCACTCGCTCCCCCGACTGCAGCCCAGCCTCCCGCGCCGTCCGCCACTGAGCCTCGATCCCCCACTACCGGTACCTGGGCTCAAGAATAGTCAGACAACACGTGGGAGCCAGGATGGCGGTGGATAACAAACCTGCGAGAAAACGCACCCTGACGAGTACTGAGCACAGTAGCCGGCAGCCAAGACTGACGCGGAGCACGGCGCCGCGCCCTCGACGTCACCGCGCACCTCGACGTCACCGCGTAGCCCCGCCCCGAAACCGTGAGCGGCCGGAGCCACAGCGTTTGGGGCAGATGACATCATCGGCGCGGGCTTTGCCGGGTGGGTTTGGGCTTGGGCTTAAAGGTTAGGGTGCTGGGGCTGGGCCGTGCTAGAGGTGTCTGCGTGTCAACAAAGTGGAGTCTCTCAACTGCCCCTGCTACCCTCCTTTAGTGACCGGAAGGCTGGAATCATGGAATCTGCCCCTGCAGCTAAAAGGACGGAGGCCAGACTGTGTGGCCGGGACGGGCGCGCTGAGCCCCGAATGGGTGGTGTCTTCCCGGTGTGGCGGCCCACGCAGGGCTGGGCGGAATCTAAGCACGTAGTAGACACGGGGCCTCGGGAATGAACGAGAGCCTGCCTGTGGGAGCAAGGGGGGGAAAGGTGATGCAGGTGGAAGGGCAAATACAAATTATACATAGGGTTTAATTTTCCCTGCGGAAAATAAGGGACGAGAAACCACATCCCATGCTCTTTTCTTTCAGAATTTCAGCCTCTCTCCTTATAAAATGTACTCAAGTCTTTCTCTTCTATTGCCAGGCTCAACTCAGGAATGTTTGTTGGAAGCCATCTCCCTGGAGTGTAATTATTAGGCCGGGTGCGGTGGCTCACGCCTGTTATCCCAGCGCTTTGGGAGGCTGAGGCGGGCGGATCACGAGGTCAGGAGTTCAAGACCAGCCTGGCCAACATGGGGAAATCTCCATTCTTCTTAAAAAAACAAAAACAAAAAACAAAAATTAGCCTGGCATGGTGGTGGGCGCCTGTAATCCCAGCTACTTGGGAAGCTGAGGCAGGAGAATTGCTTCAACCCGGCAGGCGGAGGTTGCAGTGAGTCGGGATTGTACCACTGCACTCCAGCTTGGGCAACAGAGCAAGACTTAATCTCAGAAAAAAAAAAAAAAAGAAGGCCGGGTGCAGTGACTCACGTCTGTAATCCAGGGACTTTGGAGGCCAAGGCGGGCGGATCACCGGAGGTCGGGAGTTCAAGACTAGCCTGACCAACATGGTGAAACCCCGTCTTATAAAAAATAAATTAAAAAAATGAAAAGAAACATAATTGTTAAGGGACAAAATGGCCAAGTGTCTACTTTCTTGGGAGGTCAACGGCTTGTCAACTGACTCCAAACTGCAAAACCTACGTAATGTGGTGGGTTATCTCTACTTAGCTATGTAAAAAGAGTGAGTTTCTGTCTTTGTGTTGCCTTTAGCAGGTTGCATGTGATGTATAGCATCACATTCTGGTTTAATGCTTATTCGATAATGGTTTTCTGTCGCTTCTGCTGTTGTGGAGAGGTTTCATGGGTTGGGAGGAAACTACCCTCCACCCCCACCCATCCCCAGGCAGAGGAAAATACATTGAAAGGTCCTGAAATTGGGAAGGATATGGTTTGCTGGTGATACAGCTAAGTATTACAAGATTGTACTGTTCTGGAAGGATCTCAATGAGGAGCGGGAGAGGCGGTAGCTGTGTGTTCAGGGGTCTTGAATGATCAGGCTAGAAAGGTGAGAACGTGGTTCTATATAAGTAAAAGCAGAGCAGGGCTTGAAACTCGTATTATATGTATGGCAACTAGTAAATATACTCAGTCACCGGTATGCAAATCCCATACTTCACTACATGTCAGAATCCTAAGGGACAGATAGGACAGGACTATTACTTCCAGATTACTAGCATGGAAACTAAGGCTCACCCAAACAAGTCAAATGGTTTGCTCAAAACCTCCTAGAACAGCCAGGGCCTGGTGCAGTTTGTCCTAGCCAAGATGCTCATATCAGACTGCTCGGTCCATTCTGCCAGTCTGATATGAGATTATAATGGCTCCATTTACCTTGCCTGCTGCCTAGGCAGAACCAATTTATCAAGACAGGGGAGCCGGGCGCGGTGGCTCAAGCCTGTAATCCCAGCACTTTGGGAGGCCGAGGCAGCTGGATCACGATGTCAAGAGATCGAGACCATCCTGGTCAACACGATGAAACCCCGTCTCTACTAAAAACACACACAAAAAATTATCTGGGCATGGTGGTGCATGCCTGTAATCCCAGCTACTCAGGAGGCTGACGCAGGAGAATTGGCTGAACCCAGGAGGCGGAGGTTGTGGTGAGCCGAGATCGCGCCATTGCACTCCAGCCTGGGTAACAAGAGCGAAACTCCGTCTCAAAAAAAAAAAAAAAAGAAAAAAAAAGACAAGGGAATTGCAATAGAGAAAGAATAATTCACGCAGAGCCAGCTGTGCGGGAAATTGGAACTTTATTACTCAAATCAGTTTCCTCAAGCATTCGGAGGTCATGGTTTTTAAGGATAACTTGGTGGGTGAGAGGCAGCCAGTGAGTCAGGAGCGCTGATTGGTGGGGCCAGAGATGAAATCATATGGAGTCCTAGATGTCTTGTGCTTGAGTCAGTTACTGGGTGGAGGCCACAAGATCAGATGAGCCAGTTTATCCATCTTGGTGGTGCCAGTTGATCGATCCAGTGTAGGGTCTACGAAATATCTCAAACACAGATCTTGGACTTTAGTGATGTCCCCAGGAGCAATTTGGGGAGGGTCAGAACCTTGTAGCTGCATAACTCTTAAATCATAATTTCTAATATTTTGGTTAATTTGTTAGTCCTACAAAGGCAGTCCGGTCCCAGGCAAGAAGGGAGTTTGTTTTGGGAAAGGGCTATTATTGTCTTTCTTTTCTTTTCTTTTCTTTTTTTTTTTTTTTTTTTTTTTTGTGATGGAGTTTTGCTCTTGTTGCCCAGGCTGAAGTGCAATGGCGCGATCTCAGCTCACTGCAACCTCCGCATCCTGGGTTAAAGCGATTCTCTTGTTTCAGCCTCCCAAGTAGCTGGGATTACAGGTGCCCGCCACCACACTTGGCTAATTTTTGTATTTTTAGTAGAGACAGGGTTTCATCGTATTGGTCAGGCTGGTCTCGAACTCCTGACCTCAGGTGTTCCACTGGCCTCAGCCTCCCAAAGTTCTGGGATTACAGGCGTGAGACACCATGCTGGCCTATTGTCTTTCTTTTAAACTATAAACTAAGTTCCTCCCAAAGTTAGTTCATTAGTTCAACCTCCACCCAGGAATGAACAAGGACAGCTTGGAAGTTAGAAACAGGATGGAGTTGGTTTGGTCAGTTCTCTGTCACTGTCTCAGTTATAACTTTGCAATGGTGGTTTCAGAGATGATGAAAGAGAACTAAGAAAGTAAATAGTTACAAAGGGCCAGAGAATGTGTGTTACTGTAAAAAGGCTCTCCCAAGGGACTGAAAGAGAAGAGCTTTTTAACAGAGTGATAACCCAAAAAACTTCACTGAAGAAGGGGAGTTGTGGTCAGGTGTGGTGGCTCACACCTGTAATCCCAGCACTTTGGCAGGCTGAGGTGAGTGGATCACCTGAGGTCAGGAGTTCAAGACCAGCCTAGCCAACATGGTGAAACCCTGTCTCTATAAAAATACAAAAATTAGCCAAGTATAATAGCCCATGCCTGTAGTCCCAGCTACTCAGGAGACTGAGACAGGAGAATTGCTTGAACCTGGGAGTCAGAGGTGCAGTGAGCCAAGATGCTGCTATTGCATTCTGGCCTAGATGACAGAATGAGACTCCATCTAAAAAAAAAAGACTCAGGCACAGTGGCTCATGCCTTGAATCTGGCGCTCTGGGAGGCCTAGGCAGGTGGATCACCTGAGGTCAGGAGTTTGAGACCAGGCCGGTCAACATGGGGAACTCCCATCTCTACTAAAAATACAAACAATTAGCTGGGTGTGGTGGCACACCCCTGTAATCTCAGCTACTTGGGAATTGCTTGAACCCAGGAGGTGGAGGTTGCAGTGAGCTGAGATTGTGCCACTGCATTGCAGCCTGGGCAACAGAGCGAGACTCTGTCTTAAAAAGGGAGAGAGAGAGAGAGAGAGAGAGAGAGAGAGAGAGAGAGAGAGAGAGAGAGACAGACACAGAGAAAGGGAGATGCTTACTTATTATCAAAGTAATTACAGGCCAGACATGGTGGCCTGTAATCCCAGCACTTCTGGAGGCCCAGACAGGAGGATTGCTTTAGCCCAGGGGTTGAAGACCAGCTTGAGAAACATCACAAAACTCATCTCTACAAAAAATTTTAAAAATTAGCTAGGCACGGTGGCTGATAGTCCCAGCTACTCAGGAGGCTGAGATCAGAAGATCACTTGAGCCCTAGAGATTGAGGCTGCAGTGCAGTATGATTGTGCCAATGCACTCCAGCTTGGGTGACAGACCAAGACCCCATCTAAAAAACAAAAAACCAATCAGAAAAGATGCCAAAACATAAAAATTACGTAATCAGAGTTGAATTGTGATTATGCTGGGAAACTGGAAGGTAGAAACAGGATGGAGACTGGCACAAAGAGAGAGACATGACAGCAGTATTTTAACTGCTTGTCAGAATACTAAAAATAACTTTCTTCAAACCCACATCTCAAATGAGTAATTCCATTGTTCTTCCAGGCCAAGTAGTGAAGCTAGATTTTTTTGCTCTTTAGTTCAGCTAAAATCCAGGTTCTTGTCTCCTGATTAGGAAAAATTAGGCACATGGACACATTGAAGGGTGAGAATTTATTAAGTGAAAAGAAAGCTCTCAGCAAAGAGGAGGTCCTACCAACAGGCTCCCACCTCACAGGTTAAATACCAGGCCACCACACTGGAGCTGAAGAGGCCTGGCTTCTCCCCTGCATAACGCGTGAATTCCTGGTGGCTCCACCCCATTCCCTCAATGCACATGTGGACTCCTAGTCTGAGCTGCTCCGCCCTGATTTATTTCCCTTACTGCACATGTGTTAAGATATGGAATTTTTCGTGCCGGGCGCGGTGGCTCAAGCCTGTAATCCCAGCACTTTGGGAGGCTGAGGCGGGTTGGATCACGAGGTCAAGATATCGAGACCATCCTGGTCAACAAGGTGAAACCCCATCTCTATTAAAAATACAAAAAA